ATGTGATCAAGTACATTTGTCCCACATTGATTGTCTCTAGGACACATATACTAACATCTTTGAGGGTGCTGTTATGGATGAATCTGGTTGTGGGTTTGAGGGTGTGTTGGATTCAGATAGTTTTTTCGTTAATAACTTAAGTTTTGGGATTGAGGGGTTATTTGAATTTTGATGATTGGGGAAGGACTTTCTCTGCATTTTCTTGTAATATTTCTTGTTTTGGATAATTTTTCCTTTTTCTTTTGTGACATTGTGTATATGAATTTCTTGTATTATATGTTGTGATAATAAATGTCTATTTTTTTTTTCTTTTTTTAAATGATAGAATTCATAAAAAAGCATATAAATACATAAAAAAAAATAAATATAATTATACTTAAAAACAATAATTAGAATTAGAGAGACCTACACCCATTAGCAGTTTAGAACAAACTACACTAACTTACCCACAAAACAATCGGTCTAAACTCTCACAATGCGAGGATAAAGCTTCTACAAACAAGTCCCCTCAGTCATGAGCAACCCAATCCGCAACTTACCACGATCCAACACGCGAGGATGACCGTTAAATCTATTTTGGGATTAAATATGTGTAATTGATACATTGGGTCATTATATTGTTTAGCCAAATTAAGTGATCAAATATTGTACATTGGCCAAGGACTTAACTTAGATTGTGGAATGATTAAATGTGGACACCCGGTAATATTATTATTTGGTGACGTAACGAATAATAATATTAAACTTAAGGAACTAAATAACAAATAATTTGGGTCAAAATAATTAATGGTGGAGTCCCCTAAAACCCTGAAAATATAAAAGGGTCCTTGGGATTCTTTATTAAGGATATGAAAGAAATCATCGTCCCACTAAGCACTCTTCATTCAGTTTTCTCTTACGTCAGAGAAAATAAGAGATCTGGTTCACGATCTTTTGAAAGATCTCCAAAATCTCAAATCCCCAATCAAATTCAAGTTTGAATCCAATCAATCAAAATGAATATCTATCAGGTACGCTTCCGCTATTCGGTTTTATTCTCGATTGTTCAATATGAGCGATCTTGTGATTAAGCGATTTCAATCGCATACGGTTAAATCCAATTCTATCGATGACCGTCCAAATAAATAGAAACTCGACCAGAATACAACACAATTAGAGACTCCAGTAAACGATTGAAACCGCAAGTTGGACCAAAACTGCTCGCCTGAACAGACCACACCCAGACGGAGGACAACACCTCCACTCCATAACCACCCACTGACAACTCCGACTTGACATTCGGCCAGAGTTGCAGCGCCGCGCTAGCCAAAAACCGAAGTCTTAGGGGAAGCAAAACAAGGGAGAGAAAGACAAATACCTTGAACCCGACCGAAAAACTAGACAGCACTAGTCGGGGCCAGGCGTTCGATCGCCATTTAGCCCCATCGGAACCCGCTCCATTCCACAACATAGACGCCATTTCAAATAAAATTGTTGAAATTTTGATTTCAACTAGCTTATCAACTAATTTTACCAAAACACTTTTATCATGTAAGCTAGCTTTTCAGCTATAAAGTCATAGGCTACAAGCTATAAGCTCGAATATAAGCTAGCTTATCAACTATCAGCGAGCTTATCAGCTAGTTTTACTAAACATAGTCATAAGCTCAAAAATTACTCTTCAACTATAAGCGAGTTTATCAACTAGTTTTACCAGACATAAGCAACTATGTCTGGTAAACCCTAGCTGATAAGCTAGCTTATAGTTTATATGTGATTTTCGAGTTTATAGTTTATACCTTATGAGTTATAGTTGAAGAATTAGTTTATATGATAAAAGGGTTGAGTAAAATTAGGTAATAAGCTAGCTGAAATAAAAAATTCAACGAGTTTATTATTTAAAAAAGCTACCCAAAGAAACTTGTGAGATATTCTCAAACTTTTAAAAAAAATGTGTCCTACCAAACGAGACTTATATGAATAGAGAAAACTTATAAGATAACTAAATAAATTATAACTTAACCATATTTGCAGCTACCAAACATAGCCAATATATCGTGATTGGGGATATGATTTTCTTATAATAATGAAAACCCAATTGCCAAGACTTTTGAATACTTTTTCTCTTCAAACGGTCATATTATACTCGTGACATCCAGTGTAAGAGCATTAAATCAGTACATACTGCAGCTTCGTAGGCCACACCAAACAAATGAAATCAAATTTCAATATAAGCTGTATTTCATCATAATTCATAAATACATTCTCTGTATGTAACATATACTCGTCATATAATTTGACCGCTCTCTAAAGTATCCCAATCAACGCGAAAATCGTTCGCCAACATCTGGAAACCAACACGCTCTACGTTATGAATAATCAGCTGATTACATCACAATCTTACGTATTATATATATATATTATGTTAGAAAGTTGAAACAATAGTAAGAAATTGTAAGGAACACAAAAATGTCAGCACCAAGATCACATGAATGTTTTACCAAAATGACAGTACGATTCAAAGAGTTTGAATAGTACGTCAATTTTGACCCGAATATTCCTGGCATGGGCAAGTGTATATATATATGTGGTGGCTTTGCAGCAAATTCTCATATCAAAACCGAAACACCGAGAGTTATGAGAGTTTCACTAGAAGCACAAGCCATGTCAGGAGCTAACTATCTTGAACACGGCTATGACATGGAAGAATGGGAACGAATGGAGTCTGAGGTACCTGCGTATTTATTAGCCGAAGAAGATGAAGAAAAAAAGGAACCGGAAAAAATAGTTCGTAAGCGTTATTTTCTGTCCTCGGAAAATAGTGATCAGAAGCAATATCACGCTTGTGAAAATGAATGGGATGAAGTTGATGAAGCACAATACGAGGGCCAAAAGGCAAAAAAATGTTGGGGTTATTTGCCATTGAGCTTTGGTATGATAATCATCTCGACTTTCTTTTGGCTACTGATCGAGAAGTGTAGGAAGATTAACAGCGGCACGGTTATATTGATCGTGTACGATTTCTGGGTACGAATTAGTCGTAAAGATTCATAAGATGATAAGAGCAGAATTATTATTATTATTTTTTTTCCTTAGTCTTTTCTTGTTTTATGTCGGAGTACTGCTTAATAGTTCATTGATTTGTTCAATAAGATTGTGTAATTTTGATATGAGTGGTTGAAATAAGCATGCAGAAGTTTTTGTGATGAATAAAATCTAATAATTCGTACGAATGGTTAATTCGATATTTGCTGAATGAGGAGTTGCCAACTTTTGAAATATGATGAAGATATATAATTATGAAAAAAATAAAATGAGAGAATTATTTGTGATAAATATGTTAAGGAGAAGAAAAAACATAAATTAATGATGTAAAGGAGAGAATATGTTAAAAGATAGATACAATTATGAAAGTGATAAGATGAGAAAGAATGAGAATTATTTAAGACAGAGATTCATTAATTTTTGTGTAACTTAATTACATGTATATTATTAGAAAAACAATCAATCACCAAAATATCATTAAGAATCCACTTTCCATATATTTTTGGAATCAAAGAAAGCTAAAATAATTGGAATGGTAATTAAAAAATTATATTAGAAGGACCATTGTAGTGGGCCGCATGGTAGCGTGGTGAAGGGAATTCAAGAGGTATTGGGCCGTTCTTGGGTGGTCGAGCTTGTTCATGGATATAGGGAGGCTAATTTCGTGGCGGATT